ATTAGCGTAAATGTCACTATAGCCTAATCATCTATCATTATTTATCCGATTTGGTCACTAAAGTATTTTTTTGCACAATATGTCATTAAACTTACAACTTACCTGTCTATTAAGTCACTTTCGTTAGTTTTTAACATATTCTCCGTTAACCAATTATTATAAATTACATGAATGGTCCCTATGATTTCAATTTCTTTCGTGGTTGGTCCCACACCAACACAGTTCATCACTGACATCACTAACGTTCAATTCCGGCAACCACCACCCTTCACCTCGGGCAACCCCGTTAACCATTATTCCAACATACGATCACTCACAAAAAAAAATCTCAATCGAATTTAATTTTTATAAAAAAAATAATTTCAGCGAGTTTCAATTTTCAAGAATGCAATTTAAAAAAAAAAATGTTCAGAATCAACATTGAATGAGAGTGTAACAATGTCTATTTGCTAAATAAGAAATTAATTACCAACAAGATATTCATGAGTTAATTTTTTCTTACAAAGAATGCATCAATACTACTTACCTTCACAAAGTGTATACATGACATGCATATTAGAATTGGATTATCCAAATGAAATTTTTATGTAACACCCAAATTTTCAAAACAATTTTTCATTTCAAAACATACTTTCCACCACATAAAAATCACAAAATCATAATAAATCTCTGTATCATCACAAAACATGTCCCAAGATCTCATATAAATAAATCCTCTCTCGTGTGTACGAATCATGTCGGCGCCTTCCCGCGATCCTCACTAGTACCTGAAACACATCACACAACAACTGTAAGCATAAAAAGCTTAGTGAGTTCCCCAATATACTACATACAACACATACGCCACTCGAGGCTACAATACGACCCTCCGGTCCGATGTGTCTCAGCGGGACCCTCCAGTCCCGTAGCTCGTTGGACCCTTCGGTCCGGTCTATATCGTTGGACCCTTCGGTCCGGTCTGTATCGTTGGACCCTTCGGTCCGGTCTATACAAAACATAGCATACATATAACACAATGCACATAATCTCATACATACACATAGCATACAAGACCCTCTGGTCTACACATAAATACCACTCTAGGTAATGTATAGTGAGAAGACTCACCTCAGATGTCTCGGATAATATCCCGCCCTTGTATATACTGATCTAGCCTCTGCCTATACACATAACATAATCATCTCAATCAATCACGACTCTCTAGGCTAGACTAGACTCTCACATGTCCTCTAAGAAGGCTAAAAGGCTATTTTACCCTTCAAACAGTCCACAAGTTCCATTGTTGACCAAACCCAAAAAGTCAACAAAAGTCAACGGTCAACCCTTGACCAGACTCGCCGAGTGCACAAATGTGAGTCGGCGAGTTCAGTCGTGAACTCGAGTCCTCTATCCCCCTTCTGACTCACTGAGTCATTCCCCCAATTCGGCAAGTCACTCACTGTCTGTCCTTGGACTCGGCGAGTTCATGTCATGCACAAACTCAATTGACCTCCTGAGGTCAGATCTGTTCCTTAGAACCATAGATCTGACCTTCCCAAGCCTGATAATCACGTAAAGCTTGGATCTTGACACTCATGTGACGCCTAGGAGGCTTTACTTGGTGATTTAGCCCCAAAAACAACAACCTGAGCTCATTGCCTCCATAGCTCAACATAAAGCAAGCTGGAATAAGCTCTTTAGACCACTATGGGTCCAGATCCGAAGTCTCAAAGTGAATAGGGGCCATATTCTCACAACTCCTTCCAATAAAAGACATAAAAACTCTACATCTATGGATTCCTTCAACAAAACAAATAAAGGGGTGACATAATACCTCAAAGATGAAGTCTTTTGCTCGAAATCCCCAGATGCACAACCTCCTTGGTCCCCTCCAAGCTGGAATCACCTCCTTCTTGTAAGAATCAATCACAAAGATCAAGAAATGGCTCCTTTCCTCTCACAAACACTCTAGCTCTTTTAGGGTTTCTCTCTGGGGTTTGGTAGCCGCAAGTGACGGCCCTAAGGGCCTTTAAATAGGTCCCAAACCCAAGAAATTAGGGTTTCATTAAACAGCGTGGACTCGCCGAGTCCACGTATGGACTCGCCGAGTCCAGTCATTAATCCAGTCCAACAATGCGCGGCTCTACTCGGCGAGTCTAAGCGCCTACTCGCCGAGTCCCTCTCCAAAACTAAAAAATAATTAGATAAATATAGTACCTAGAAACCCGGATGTTACATTTTACACAATGCAACACTAAATGCAGTTCACTAACTACCAACGTATACATTTTTATTTGGGACAAGAACCCTATAAAAAAACTGATCATTTTTAATGCAACTATTTCACCAAATAATATCAAATGTAGTTTGCAAACTTATAAGATGACATTTTTTAGTGATCTAACATATTTTTGGTCGATTTAAGGGATTTAAGTGGTTGAAGTTTCTACCAAATGTATCATATTTTTACTTAAAATTGACCGATAAACTAAATGCTAAATCAAAAATCATGGGGGTTGCTCGAGGTGAATGTTGGAGGGTGCCGGAAGTGAACGGACGTGGTGCAGGTGATGAACGATACGGGTAAAGGACCAACTACAAAAGAAAATTGAAACCATAGGGACCATTCTTGTAAATTATAATAACTGGTTAACAGAAGATATATTAAAAATTAACGAAAGTGACTTGATAGACAAGTATGTTGTAAGTTTAATGACCTATCGAGCAAAAAAAATATTTTAATGACCAAATCGGATAAATGACGATAGTTGATTGAGCTATAATGACATTTACCATTTCAATTAAGCATGGATTTCAATATAATTTCAATTTTGCCACCGCCTCTCAATTTTGCCACCGCCTCCCATCAGATTTTTTGTTTTAATCTCAACCCTCTTTTTTTTTTCTTAATCAGTGGTCATCAATTGGTCCCCTTGTTTCACAAAATCATCTTGTCTCATATGAACTCAACCATATATATATATATATATATATATATATATATATATATATATATATATATATAATATATATATATATATATATATATATATATATATATATATTCAACGGTCTAACAAGAATAATAGCCGAAATGTTTTTGGAGTTAAACCGAAAAATGGTATTCGAGAGGTATCATTATTATATATATTAAAGTTGTGGAAGAAAGGAATAGTAAAGTTGGCATACTTTGTCCAGCTTTGGCCCCTTGATTTACATATCCGGTCCCTGTACTTCTTTAATTAATTTATTCATGTCCTTTTGTTTGTGTTCCATTCAACTTCCCATTTTTTTGGCAGAATTGGTCCCTGTATTATTGTTGGAAGTTAGGAATACTAAATTTGGATGTTTTTTAACAACTTTGCTCATTATTATTTACACATTTTGACATTTTTGGTCCTTGCAATCAATATTTTTACACTTTTTTGGAACCTTTTAATATTTAAAGTTTAGCCACAAAACTTTAACGGTTTGACAACTTTGATCCCTTTTCTAAAAAGTTGCTAATTCCTACCCCTTTAATTCTTTAGCCATTTTCACACTTTTGGTCCTTGCAGTCAAAACTTTTACATTTTTTGTCCGGGGCAAAGCCCAGACTTTTCATCCTTGCACTTTCTATGTCTGTCATATTTATCAAATTCGGAAACAACATTGAAAGCTTCTGGCCCCCGCGTAGCGGGGGTAACCTTTCTAGTTCTTAATTAAATATGTTAATTAAGTTATAAGTAATTTACAAATATGGTCGTATGGTAGACCATCATTCTTAAATTGTTCCAAAAGGCAAAATGATTATAACGAAAAATATGAGATTTGACTACTTATGTTTAAAGCAGATATAAAAATTAAAATTTAAGAAATTAAGGAATCTAATTCTTATAAACGATTTTATTAATAAAAATAACGTGTTTTTTTTTTTGAAAAATGATTGTTTGTTCCGGAATATCATATTCCAAATTTCGTATGACCATTTCGGAATTAGTGGGCAGTAGGTAGGGTTTGGGTGCGGGATCTGACACCATCGTACGTCCAAACTAAAAAAATGCATTATGGGCTGTCATCCGAGGGAAATTCTGGAGAGGCCGCACAAATTGATCGGTTATATATTTATTAATTTTTTTTTTGTTGATTTTAAGATTACAGTTAAGTTGTAGATTTTATAAAAAATAAAAATTATACAAAAAGAAAAAGGGAAAAAATAACACAAAACACATTTTACACATTAGAAAAAACTAATCCGGAACGAGTGTCCAGAATCCTACTCCGGTGTTTCGCAGAACTCTTCAGAAGAATTTATTCCGGACAAAATGATTTTTTTTATTTAAAGTTGTATATTTTTTTTAAATAGTTAATTTATCCGGTGTTTCGGAGAACTCTCCAAAATAATCTATAAATATATTGTTGAACAACTTACTTAATATTAAAAAAAAATCAAAGAGCAAATTTGATTTTCATATTAAAAGTAAATTACGTACATGCTAACACTATTTAAAAGTTCAAATTCAATTTATTTTTTCATTTATTTTTAACAAAACTAATTAAAAAAAATAAAAGGTCAAACCAATTTATAAGAATACATAGTTTACAGAATTGTTGAATTGGGTGTAATATGTAATATCTACTTCATACAGATTCAATAAATTATATTCAACTACAATAAGGTTAAACGTTGTGTTCAATAGATATGTAGTACAATAGTCAATATTTATTTAACTATTCAATATAAAAATAAATAAACAATGAAACTATTTTTTACAAAATGATTAACAAATAAATGATTTTGTTAATTGGTAATAATACGTTACCATCAATTAAACTGTAGTTTCTATTAATAAACTTAAAATCTATTTTCTCGATGCCGTGAGTTGATTTTGTGTTAAAACTGGCAAGTTGACATGCACAGCTTGTTTCGGGAAAAACCATCTGATTACAAGTGAATAGTTGTGGTGGACTAGTAAAGGTGCATGGTGCACCCTTTGGTTGAATGTTAAGGTTCGACTTCTATATAAACCAACCTTTGCATGCAAATATTCTCCACAACCAAAAACACCTAATTACCTCTCTTTATTCAAGAATATTTTCCTTTATGAAGATGACTAAGTTTTCAATTTTAGCAACCCTATGGCTATTTTCATGTCTGTTCCTTCTCGTTGTCTCTCCGGTTGCGTATGCTTACTCCAAGTCGGAGATCAGTTCATGGTGTCGCCAAACACCTCACCCGCAATCGTGTGAGTATTTCTTGTCGAGTAATAAAGATTCTGCTCCAGTAAAGCAAAAACCTGATTTCCTCAAGGAGTTGTTGAAGGTGACGCTAGAACGAGCGTGCAAGGCTGAGTCGCACACTCGTGAGCTTGGCACGAAATGTCGTAACAAGCTTGAAAAAGCTGCATGGGAAGACTGCCTCGAGCTTTACGAAAACACTGTCGAAAGAATCAACATGACTATTGATCCTCGTAAGCCATGTAGCCAATACGAGATGCAAACATGGCTTAGCACTGCCCTCACGAACCTCGAGACGTGTAAAGCTGGGTTCCAAGATCTAGGTGTTGGTGGCTACATGTTGCCATTGATGAACAACAATGTATCCGCTTTAATCAGCAATACATTGGCAATGAACAAAGGAGGATCTCCACCGAATAATGTACAAAAAGGGTTCCCTACTTGGGTAAAGCCCGGTGATCGAAAGCTGTTACAATCTCCAACCCCGGCTTCTCAAGCTAACGTGGTGGTGGCGCAAGATGGTTCCGGCAACTATAAAACGATAGGAGAAGCCATAGCCGCCGCCGGAAAGAGGTCTGGTAGCGGGAGGTATGTGATCCACGTTAAGGCGGGTACTTATAAGGAGAATATCGAAATCGGAACCAAACTGAAGAACATAATGCTACTAGGAGATGGTATTGGAAAAACCATCATCACCGGTAGCAAAAGTGTCGGAGGAGGTGCTACGACTTTCAAATCAGCAACAGTTGGTAAGCAAAATTATTGTTAAACATAAAAAACACACCGTTGAATATTACCAGTAATTTAAAATTAATACTTTTACTTTATCAGCTGTCGTTGGAGATGGATTCATTGGACGAGGTATTACTGTAAGAAACACCGCCGGACCACAAAACCACCAGGCGGTGGCACTGCGTAGTGGTTCTGATCTCTCGGTGTTCTACCAGTGCAGCTTTGAAGGCTATCAAGACACGCTATATGTTCATTCTGATCGACAGTTCTATAAAGAATGCGACATATACGGGACAGTTGACTTCATTTTTGGCAACGCTGCTGTGGTGTTTCAAAACTGCAACATTTATGCACGTAACCCTCCTAACAAGACCAATACAGTGACAGCACAAGGAAGAACCGATCCAAACCAGAACACCGGAATCTCAATCCAGAACTGTCGGGTCATGGCTGCATCGGACTTGAGAGGTGCCACAGGCTCGGTTAAGACGTATCTTGGTAGGCCATGGAAACAATATTCGAGGACTGTTTTTCTGAAAACATTTCTCGATGGTTTAGTGGACCCTGCCGGCTGGTTGCCATGGAGCGGTAGTTTTGCGCTTGATACGTTGTATTATGGAGAGTACATGAACACCGGTGCTGGTTCATCCACGGCTAAAAGGGTTAATTGGAAGGGATACCATGTCATCACTAGTGCCACAGAGGCTGCAAAGTTCACAGTCGGAAACTTCATCGCCGGTGGATCTTGGTTGCCGGCAACCAGTGTACCGTTCTCTTCTGGCCTTTAAATCACTCATTGGATATGATTAAATAGTTGAATATCTTGGATTGATTATTAATTAGATGTTTGTTAGCTAAAGAATAAAGGGTTGGTAATTCAAAAGTCCAACAATATGTCATTGTCTTAATTCGTTAAAGTTTGTAAAATTTTATAGTTTGTCATTGATTCGTTCTGGATTTATTAAAAGAAAATTTTATGTATCTTATAAACAATAATAGAAAGTGATATATTTGTTAAGATATACCAATTTGATCATTTACCTTATCTTAACAATGGACATACCAGATTTTGTCATTAATCTATGTTGTGGTTTTGTTTTGTTGAATTCCTAAAAGTCGGAGGACTGATTGTATCAAAGATAGAAACTGAAGTATAAGAGGTGCATAGCTCGTACGAGATTGTAGCGAAGTTGTACCACAATTGGATATAATTTCACTACAAGAAATAAGAGAATTAGCTGCCATAATATCGCTGCAAAAGATATCCAATGCGGCCGTAAAAGCCTTTAGCAATGACATGTTGCCGCTAACGCGTCGCCGCAATTGCTTCATAGCTAATACTCATATAACACCGTTATTGACTGTCATCTCTAATGAACACGCCGCTAATGACCTCGCCGATATTGACTTGTCGTAAGTAATGTTGTCGCTGATGTTGAATACATTGCCGTTATGCTCTTGTCGCCCCTATTACATCTATTAGATAACACAAACTTATTATTTAAATATGTATGTGTATGTATCATATATTATCTCTCATTTAATATAGAAGATTAGTTTGTATCTTATGATTATAAATGCACAGACCTCACACTCGATTAGATGTGTGATTGAAATTATAAACATTCTATATGGTATAGGCCTAACAAAACCCTCATCCTTCAAAATTCGTCTCTTTTTCTTACCCTAACCCTTCCGATTTCTTATCTCCTGGTACCTCATCACCATGTCGATTACTACAGACGGCACTTTCACCATGAATATGCTTCTCCATAAGATTCCAATTAAACTTTGTTCCACAAATTATCTTTTGTGGCGGAATCAAATGATGCCCCTCTTTTCTTATCAGGAGCTTTTAAGCCATATTGATGGCACCTCCATTGCTCCTCCTGAAACAATTGAAGCAAATAACAAATCAGTCCCAAATCTTGCATTCTCCATATCGACTGATTTAGATCAAAAGGTTGTTATAGATCAAAAGGTTGTTATTCTACTCAGTTCCTTTATCACTGAGGAAGTTGCTGTCGAGGTCCTTGGTCTCTCTACTTCTCGCTCTATTTGGTCTACCTTGGAGTATGCATACAACAACTCGTTTGTTGAACGCATTCCCTATTTACAAGATTCTCTTTGCCAAATGACAAAAGGTACGTCTTCTTTTTCTCATTATGCTCGCAAATTCAAGACTTATTGTGATATTGGCCAACCTGTTGATGAGATGGACAAAATTCATTGGTTTCTTTATGGATTGGGAGCTTCATTCGAAACCTTCTCTATTGTTATTCAAACCTCTAAACCTTCACAAGTTTTCAGAGATTTAGTTGCACAGGCTTAAGGCCATGAATCATTCCTTTAAACTCTTCATGGTTCCACTACCCCTCCTGTTGCTTTCATGTCTCGACAGACCCGATCCAAACATTGTCAATTATGTCGAACAAATGGGCATTATGCGTCTTCATTTCCCTATCTTCATACTTATGCCACCAATGCACCTACTTCAGACTGTAATCTAGCATGTGCCTTTCATTCTCAGTGCCACGTCATGCAAGGTCATCCTGATTGGTATGTTGGCTATGGAGCAACTACGAACATGAATTCTTCTTCGGACAACGTCTCCCAATCGGCCTTTTACTCGGGTAATATGCATGTTTCTTTTGGTAATGGGGTAAAATCCGCATTTCTCATATGAGTTATACTATGATTTAAAAAAATCTATTATTGTGTGATGTATTCGTTGTCCCTAACTTAACCAAAAATCTTCTATCTATTACTAAACTCACCACTGATTAACCGGTTGATGTTCTCTTTTCTCAACCATTTCTCATACGGGTTATACTATGATTTAAAAAAAAATCTATTATTGCATGATGTCTTAGTTGTCCCCAAATTAACAAAGAATCTTCTATATATTAGTAAACTCACCATTGATTACGTGGTTGTTGTTCTCTTTTCTCAACCATTTTTAAATATTCAAGACAGGGTAAGCAAAAAGGTGATTGCACAAGGAACGTATGAAGGTGGTTTATATGTGCTTCGAGATTGCCCTATAGCTTTGGTTTCATCTTATGGAGTTTCCAGCAAAGCCTCATTTGAGTTGTGGCATAATCGTTTAGGACATACTTAATTTGATGTCATCTCTATTTTAAACACCTTGGGTGTTTTGCATGTTACTTTAGTTTTACTAAAACATCTTATGTGTGAACCATGCCCGTTTTCTAAAGGGCAAAGATTACCATTTGAATCAATTCCAAAATGTTATTTATACCCTTTTGATTTAATACATTGTGATATGTGGGGACCATCTTGTTGGATTAGTGTCTAAGCCCGTAACTATATTTGGTATGTACTTGACCCGGTTGTGCATGGTCCTTTTGGGTTGCCTTCACCAAAACAACTTGATAGGATGATTTATGGAGAAAGAGAGGTTATTATGGTTTATTAATATATTATATGAATAATAAATTAAAAACAGAAATCATATAGTTTAATTAATATTAGACAAGAATTAATTAAGAATTAATTATGTGGCTAAAAGACATTAATTAATTAAAGGGGACTAGAACTGTCAATTGTGTGATAGTTGATATTAGGCTGAGAATCCTTATGGATTAGGGCATAGATGAAATTAAGGAGAAGTCCATCTTAATTTCGTCCAAGGAGGCCTTATTCCAGAAGGTTCTCAAGTTACTTAGGGCCTAAGTCATCCAGTTAGGGTTTTGACTGAAAACCTAGAAGCTCAAGTATATAAGGACCCCTAGGGCTAGCAAAATCGGCCACTTGATCCCTTGGAAGCTTGGAGCCGACTTTTGCCTCTCATCCGCTCTCCTATACATCATTCTCTTGCTTGTGGTGTTTGTGAGCCATTAGAGGTGTTACACTTGTGCCACTAAGCTTCTTGAAGATCAAAGGATTCTTGCAATCATAGAAAATGTATCATCTAAACTAGTTCATTATAGATTTCGATTTCTATGTATGCTAGATTAGGGTTTCAAGTCTTGGATAAATTGCATGTATAATAGAGAAGCCTAGATCCAAGCTTTAGGGTTTTGTATGAGCACATAGGATTGTTCTTTTTTGTAAAACCCATCAGTGGTATCAGAGCCTTGATTGGCTTCTATTGTATTTAATGCTTTGTGTTTTCATTCTTGCTTGAAAATCGATTTTTTGGCCCCCTGACTGACAGACTCGGCGAGTCCCAAAGTGGGCTCGACGAGTAGGATGAACTCGACGGGTCCATAAGGGGACTCGGCGAGTCGGGCCTTCAGACAGAGGGATTCTCGGGATTTTTATGCCTATTTTGCTATGAGATAATTACCAATTCACTTTTAACTCATAAAATACGAATTTTATTAATATTGGATGATTATCCTTGCGAAAATAAAAGATATTTTCAAATTAATTGAATAACTATTTCCTTATGTGATAAATGTTAATTATTTGAATTTATTTGATCATTATCTTGCATAAAATTGGATTAGGTCAAAATTTGATAATCACCATAATTAATTGTTTAATTATTTATTTGAATTTTGATCTAGTTAGTTTTGAAATGTTTCAAAACTTGCCCTCAAGTTTTGGAATTAAAATTTTTTAATTAAAAGTTTAATTTTGAAATTATTAAATTCCAAACCCTAGAATTTTACAAGTTTAAAATTCACCCTATACTATTATAATATTATAAGAATAATTATTATATATATGTATAACTAAATGCTAGTCTTAACGTTAGTAGGCCTCATTCACGAAGCCGATCTATAAGGGGGGTATAAGGTTATGGCCTATAAAATGGTTGTTTAATGGGTGTCCACTCTCACCCACCGCTTCCTTGATTGGTGGAGGGTCGTTGGCCGAACGGGTAGGATAGGGAAAACCTTTCCTCATTAAAAATATAATGAATTTATAAAGTAACTAAATGTTTTACAAAATTCCCAATCTTAGTTACTTTAGGCAAAAGTGAATTTGATGCAATTTCCATGAAATTACACTTTGTACCCTTGCTAAGACGTTAGTGGAGCGTGTGTGGTTAACCGACACACTAATTGTATCTAAGCAAAGGTAGCAAAGGGTGAGTCGATGTTTGTCATAGATCGATGGAGCGTGTGTGGTTAACCGGCACATCAATTAGGTGACTGTAACTTTGGGGGAACCATGTACATTTGCATGGTTATTCACACCTGGTTTGTGATCCTCGGCATCCCAGTCACAAACTTGTGGGGCATATCGAGATTTAAACATGCCATTGAAAAGTTCAATGAATCTCAAAAGATCTAGGAGTTTTTAATACATTTAAAACTTAATTCTTTTTTGTTTTTCATGGTGGAAATTAGTGAATCGTCATTCACTTACCTTCAAATTATTTGCAATTTAAATTACGACATCCCTCTTTTAAGTTATAAATAATGTTGTTGGATCCTAGTCCTAATTTCTCATTTGGGTGTTTAATTGGGGATTCTTATCTAATCAAACTTTGTCTCTTTTTCTTTTTCAGATGTTGAATTTGAACAACAACGCTTCCGGCTCAAACGCCTCAGGCTCATTCTCACTCATGAATTTGTATGGGAGGGTGATCTTTGACGGAAACAATTTCAACGATTGGATTCGTAACATAAGGATGGTCACCCGCTACGAGGACAAGGAATATGTCCTCAACAAGGAGCTGAAAGAGGTGGATATGAATACTACTACTCCCGAGGAGATCGCTGCCTTTGAGGCCCATGAGCGTGATGCCACGAAAGTCCATTGCATCATGCTGGAGACCATGACTGCTGAACTCCAAAAGTCCTACGAGGACTTCTATCCCTACGAAATGCATCAGGACTTGGTTGAAAGGTATCACCAAAGTGCAAGGCAGGAGAGGTACGAGATCATCACTTCCATGATCACTACGAATATGAGAGACGGAGAGTCTGTCACTGCTCATCTGCAAAAGATGCAAAGGAATGTTGACCACCTGCTGAAGTT